GAGGAAGAGGAAGAAAAAAATTATGCACTTTTTGTTTTGTTTTTATGGTATAGAAAATCTAAGAGGACTGTTACCAAAAAGATTTTTTTCTTTTTTATTACTTAGAAATTCTGATCTTGTCTGCTGTGAATGACTGTTGAATTAGTAAAATGATATCACGAGAGCTGAGAGTGAAGTTTGAGCATTTAATTTTTAGTCAGCTGAACTATTCGTTTTTGTTAACTTCTATTTGAGTGTCGAATTGACATATAGGAGAAAGAATGCCTTTGTTAAAGATTCATCTTTATCCATCCTTCAGTTAAACATGGAAACTTAACATTTGCATCCTCTGAAACCCCCACAAATTCATCCACGCAACCAGATTTAACATTGCTGATATTTCAGGGTGTTTTTTTTTTTAAAAAGCCACAACATTTTCTTTCTTTCTGGAAAAATCGTATAGGCCTTGATATACAGAAGTATGCGTGCGCGCGCACACATGATAAATAGGAAGACTGTCATGTGTTAAATATATTTAATAATGATTTTTAAAAGGAGATGAATGCAGATTGGCAATATTTGCAGATGAGTTATTTAGATTAGTCATAAAAAGAAATCTTTGAAGAATTACAGAGGGACCTAACAAAGCAGAATGATTGGACAACTTAATGGTAGCTGAAATTCAGTGTAGACAAATTAAGGTAATCTGAACTCATACACATTTGAGTTCAAAATTAAATCTAACCATTTAGCAGACATACTCAGGGTCACTGCAGAAGGCTGAACATAAGCATACCCATACTGGATCAGATCAATGGTCCATCTAGCCCAGTATCCTGTCTTTCAACAGGGGCCAGTGGCAGATGCTTTAGAGGTAATGAACAGAACAGGGAAACTATCGAATGATCCATCCCGTCGTTCAGTTCCTGTTTCTGGCAGGCATAAGTTTAGGGACATCCGAAGCATGGGGTTGCCACCCTGGCCATCTTGGCGAATAGACATTTTGATGGACCTATCCTCTATGAACTTATCTAATTCTTTTTTTAACCCAGTTATGCTTTGGGCTTCACAACAGCTGCTGCCAATGAGTTCCCCGGGTTGACTGTGTGTTGTGTGAAGAAGTGTGAAGAAAAAGACCAGCGAGAAGGTTGGCAGACAAGCAAATTTGGGAAGTAGCTTTAGGAAGAGGAGTGAAACAGAGGAGTTGAGGCTGGAGTGGACAGCTACTTCATTGGTTGAAGCCTGTGGTAGATAGAGGGCATGAGTTCCTCTGCCTCAGTAGTGCCATCTACAGGTGATGTATTCTGTAAGAGAGGGTGGACTCTGCCAACTGAAGAATAAAGGATCCCTGCAGTCAAGGAGTGAAAGACTAATTTGGTAATCTTGCATCCAGGGGAAAAGTTCAGATAGACCCTAAGGGGGACAGCTGTGGCATAGCAAGAGAGACTAGGTGAAGGTTTTGTGTTTGGACTTTGTGTAACCTGGAAGGGGGAAAGTTTTTGGTTTGGCTTGAGGGCTGAACAACCCAATTACTGAGAAGGTAGACCAGCAACCAGCAGGGAAACTGAGGCATGGCAAGACATAAGGGACACCACTACAGAGGTGTAAAGAATGGGATAGAAAATGTTATGATATCATTGCATAGTGATAATATGCCCTGACCTGGGCTAAAGGTTCAGTTTGGCTTTCAAGGAAGTATAGCAAAGCTAGGAGCCCAGAGATGGGCAAAAATAAAAAAATAGAGGCATGAAAAGTTTCATCTGAGGAGAGATTGAAAAGAGACCTGTTAAGTTTAGACAGGGGAATAAGTGGCAACATGATAGAGGTATGTGAAATAATAAATAACTCAGGTAACATAAGAACAAGGTGATACCTAGTGAGATCGAAAGACGCATTTAAAACTGATTTAAAAAATGAAATGCTACTTTTACACAATGTATAAGTAACCTGTGAAACTCTCAGCCTTATGTTATTGAGGTCACGAGCTTAATAGGATTTTAAAAAGGATTGGAAATGTATTTGCGTAATGGCAACATTCACAATTATAGAGGTTTTTTTATTAGGGGATATAACGTCTCAGGAAATATCTGTGGGGAAGAAAATTCCCTTATGAACAGGTTGTTGAATAATTGTCTGAGGTTTACTGCACTTTCCTCTGAAGCATATGGCATGGACCGCTGTTAGACACAGAATACTAAACATGATGAACTGTTTGTCCATTCCCTGATTTCTTTGTTCCCATAGAAATTTCTAATGTTTGTTCTCTGCCCAAACAAATGAGTGATTTTCTATTTTGTAAGGTTTGAAGAAAATCTATTAATCTATTTTTTTAATATCCAAATGTGAAGAAGGTATTTTCATAATTTAGGGGGGAAATCACATGCTATAAAGTGTTCTTATAATTAAAATAATTTATTCAAAACTTGCCATTGACTTAACATACAACAAAGACCACATTTATTTCAGGTGTTTGAAGACAGGTGATTAGAAATAACAAAATGTTCCTTCATTTTAACTGAACTTTTAATGTCTCTTCAGTTATGCATATGAGTGTATCAGGGGCATTGCACGGTGAAATAGAATGTACACCTGTGGGTTTTTTAAGACTGCTCAATTTTAATGTTGACCATTCAAGATCTATCTTGCTTGCAAATAGATCATCAGTTCTCAAACTGGGGGTTAGGACCCCAAAGTGAGTCGGGACCCTGTTTTAATGAGGTTGCGAGGACTGACATTAGACTTGCTGGGGCCCGGGGCCGAAGCCCAAGAGTGGATTCAGCCTTGGGTGGCAAGGCTCAGGCTACATTTCCCCTACCCTGGGCTGAAGCCCTTGGGTTTTGGCTTTGGCCTCCCACCCGGGGCAGCAGGGCTCAAGTTTCAGGTTTGGCCCCCCTCCTGGGGTTTTGTCAGAAGGGGGTCGCAGTGCAATGAGGTTTGAGAACCCCTGAAATAGATACATGTGTTTGGTAGCAAGAAAGTGTCCAGTTTAGCATGTCACCAGCTCTGAAGGGCACATTATATGCTTGGGATTGCAATCCTAAAGCAGGCACCAGTCAATCTGTGATCAAAAGATTGTAAATCTTTTGAGAGTGTGGACATCCTACTAACAATAGTCCAACCCACCTTCTGGTTGCATAACCCTACATGCCTCTTGAGTGACAGATGTCCAGTCCAGTTCAACTACCACCCAGCTATAAGTGTAAGGTGGTGGGTATATTTCACTATGCAACAATGAAGTACAACTGCAACATTGTTTGATATTTTAAGTCCCGATTGAGCAACACATTTAAGCACATGCTTTTCTGATGGATTTAAGCACATGTGTAAGTGCTGTGCTGAGTCAGGGCCTTGTGCAGCAACTATAATAGGCAAAGTGAACATGACACATTAAGGCATTAAAATTGGTACTGTATGTAAGCTCTTTGAGGCAGGGACTGTCTTTTTGTTCTGTGTTTTTATGGCAGTTAGCGCAGTGGGGTAGGTTCCTAGATGATGTATCACATTACAAATAATAATATGCAATAATACCAACTGCAGAACTATATGTGCTATGGGAAGCAAAATTATAGTAGCCATGGGAGTAATAATTTTGAGTTTCTTCTCCTTAGGAGTATAAAATTTCAAACACTGCATTGCATCAGCACAGGGTTGTTTTGTTTGGGTTTGATTCCACTGTTCTGCAGTCATTCCAATTAATTTCTGAATTTACTACATCAGAAACTGATCTAGTATCAAATTAGTTTAGCAAGTAAAATACATGCAGTACAATGATTGGTATTCACTAACATTTGATCACATATCCTTAACTCTTATGCAGAACTACATGTGTAACTTTTCATACATCAGAGTTAGACTACAACATGATGAATTTTGATGGTGCCCTTTCTCAGAGTTCTTATCTGTACTCTTGTGTTGAACGCTAGTGTGTGACAGAGGGTTATTTGTACTGATCATTTGTTGGGAAAGATTTTGTGACTATTTCTAGTCTGAAAGAGGGCCATGTCAATTAGATATTGAGAATATTTCAGTACCCCAAGTAGGTCCTCTTGACATCACACTCTTCTTTTAAAATAAATAATGTTTTGTACATTTATCCTTGCAGGTTAGATAAGACTAAATAATTTAAGATGATACTGTGCCACATAAGCCCCATATGTTTATATGCATATAAAATCTCATCTTTGTTTGGGGGAAAAGGATTATTAATTTTGTACTTGAAAGTAACCGTATAGTCCCACTCCTAGACAAAAAAAATGCAGTATATCTTCGTTAATTCTCACTTCACTAATCTTCAGGCACAGTAATTTAGTCTTACTGTGCTTCACAAGAAAGATTTAGAAGTTGAGTGCTGCAGGGTGAGTTTAACAAATTATTCTACAATATGTATATGCTAGTATACTGTGAAGTACAAGTATAAAATTAAACTTGTCAAAATAAGTAAATAAAGTACATTACAGCATGGTAGTTTTTTAATTGTATGTGTTCTTACTGGGTGATGTGCAAATTTTCAGTTTGTGACTGTGACAACCTTTTGTATGAAATTCTGTGAGAGATTCTGTGTGTTACCAATTTAATAATGCTATGTCCTCTGTTACCAGATAGACTTGATCTGAAAAGTGTTTTTTGTTCCTCACTGCTATGAATGGATCACCTGGTAGTCAGTGCCAATTAATAAGGTTCTACTGTACTTCAAGTTAAAAACTATTTGCTATGTTAATTATAATTCAGATTATTTTCTTTATTTTGAGATTAGTTATTTTTTTAACTAATGGTGGTGTTTTTGTAAATTTGGGGAGAGGGGAATAGTGGGAATAATTTAAAATAGTTTCATCTTACTAAATAATGAGAATCCTTGATTAAGATATATCCTGGAGGTTCCACTTAGCCCGTAATTGTGGTTTACCCTTGTACATCATTCATATTTTCTGTTGTACACAACGTGTAACTAGCACATATTCAGTAAATATACTTGTAATTTTTTTAATCAAATGTTCACACAAACAGCTCTCTTTCCTTTTTAGGAATCTGGGTAAAAATGGCTTATCTAACAGTAGCATTTTATTGGATAAATGTCCACCTCCACGACCACCGCCTCCACCATACCCTCCCTTGCCAAAGGACAAGTTGAATCCACCTACACCTAGTATTTATGTAAGTATCAACCGACTGGCAGGAATAAATTGGTTAGGGCTTTTTGTAAATATATAGCTAGCTTTTTAATTTAAATAAGTATTGAAACAAGGTATCTTATTCAGAGCTAAATTTTACCTACAGGGATGCAACATATGAAAAGGCAGAATTTTGAACCCAAAGAGAATCTTATGATCTATTTAAAAAGAAAAATATTGTAAGTGATTCAAACTGAGAATTCCAGTGTGATTGCTAAATTGAAATGAAAACACATTAAGAATGCTTTTTAAATTTTTAGTACTTCAAGTAGTGATTTAAAAAGTCAGACAATTCATGAGACACAACTCTCAGTAATAATTTAAATGCGTTTATAAAATATTTTAAGATGCATTTGCATGGTATTACTCAAATGGTTATATGAGCAGATAACTAAATGGAACTCTCCTGTCAATATCAAAATACAGCAAAGAAAATCAATTAAATTTGCAATAACAATATTGTAGCAAAAGGTTAATATAAGGAAGAACCTGAGGTGTGAAAAGCTTTCATGAGATATTTCCTTACTCATGCCTACTTTCTGGTATGGCAGTATATTCTGACATCAGAATCGAGCAATGTCCCAAATACTGTGTAAAGCTAAGTTCCTTGGTCATGGAGGAGTAACTTAGGCTCTTACAGCATCTCCATAGTTTTTATCCACACAGTGAACCTGATGTTTGCTCTGGAGACATGACCTATACTGACCCCTAGAGGCAAAATGTTGAAAGATTGGCAATGAGAGCAAAATTAGATGCAACTAACAATGTAGTAATTAAGCATTTTTTTAAAAACTGACTAAAATCAATTGTTCTACTTAATGGTAGAGATAATGTAGATGACATTTCTGTTTTAGTTAGGCAGTTTCCTTTGAACATTATCTAAAGGATTATTTTATAACTTTTGAAAATAGTCTAACAAGACAGTATTATCTTATTCTAAAAAAGAATTTGATAGACTTGGAGATTGTACAGTAGAGGACAAAAATAATTCTATGAATCTTAGTTATTAAAATACATATTATAGAAATTAGGTATGTTCTTTGGGGAGGAACAAGAAATTAAGGAAGGAGCTCTGCTGAGGTAAAAATAATGAAGAGATGCTGTAGAGAATACATGTTACTAGATTTTTGGATCTATTGTCATGTACAGAAATAAACTGCAGCAAAATTGAGCTTAGAAAAGTCTTGCACAAAAGTAGTCTGGATAGAATTTCTACAAGGGAGTAAATTATAATAAGTAATTTAATTTCAAAAGGAGTGAAACCAGTATTTAATGAGAAAATATTGTGTGATATAAATGCTAATTCACTAGTGTACATGAAAATGGATAGCATTCCTGATCTCCTCCTGTTTTATTATTTGTTATTTTACTAATGAAAAGACTAACTTCCCCTGAGACCTAATACTCCTTTGTAATTTGCAGTTGGAAAATAAACGTGATGCTTTCTTTCCACCTTTACATCAATTTTGTACAAATCCAAACAATCCTGTTACTGTAATCCGTGGCCTTGCTGGAGCTCTTAAATTAGGTAAGTTTGTTTTATACCAAAAAAAAAAAAGACAGAGTAGACTTTTCTTTTCCTACATACATACATTCCTTTAGAAAGTGTTGGGAAATCTCTGAAGTGTTCATAGTTTTATTTCCTTAATATATTCATGTTTGTATAACAAGGAATTAGGGTAATATGTAGTCTGCAAACTAAGCAGTATTTCTGTGGTACTTTAAAAGAACTTAGCATCCAACAGCTCCCATTGACTTTAGTCAAGCAGGTGCCTAACCATCTATTTCAAAACCTAACATGAGGCTTCTATCTTTGAAACTCTTAGCCCACATTGTTTTGTGCCTTAGTTTTCCTTCTGTAAAATGGAGGATAACAATTCACCTGCATTGGTAAAGCATTTTGAGATCTATGGATTAAAATTTTTGTACTTGCTAGGTATGCTTATTATTTAATAGAAGTATTTTTTGTAGAGGCCAGGATTTGTCCGAAATACATATTTTCAGAAATAGTAGATTTAGTCATATCTGCTACTATTTAGGCAGTGTAGTCTCTTCTAGGCTTTTACAATCATATGTGGGGAAGGCTTTTTACTACATCAATATTTAATGTGAAACCTAAATAAACTGGATTGTGTTTATCATATCTGAAAAATTACATATTTCCTTTTCAAGTAAAATATCAAATGTTGTGCTTCATATACCTTTAGTTTCTTTAAATATATTAATCTCTACCTTTCCAATTATAATTTAACCTTTTCATTATACTGAACTATTATTTATGAACTGTATTAATGTTCTTTAGATCTAGGACTCTTCTCTACTAAAACATTAGTGGAAGCAAATAATGAACACATAGTAGAAGTGAGGACACAATTACTTCAACCAGCAGATGAAAACTGGGACCCCACTGGAACAAAGAAAATCTGGCGTTGCGAAAGCAGTAGATCTCATACTACAATAGCTAAATATGCACAGTACCAGGCCTCCTCATTCCAGGAGTCATTAAGGGTAAGTACATCTTAACTATTTTATAAAGAACACAGTAATTCTGCAAACAACTTGTCCTCAGTAACAACTTAAAACATGATCATATGATTTTTTTTTATTTTTAAGGAGTCCTTTCCATCAGTTGGTATTGGGAAGAAGGGGATTCCCATTAATGTTCAATGCACAGCTAAGCACATAAATTCCCTGTGAATGGATGAGCAAATAGATTATAAGGTGTTACGCACAAACCCCTTTAGTTTCTTTAGTGTAAGACTATTAGTTATCACTTTCACATACATTTAAAACT